TTTTCCGTCGTCTGACCACACTTTTAGGAATCACTCGCTTCCGAACGACCGCCTACCATCCACAAGCAAACGGGTTGGTAGAACGTTTTCACCGACAACTGAAAGCTTCGCTATCAGCTGCAAACGTTTCACAGTGGACCGACGCTCTTCCACTCGTCTTACTAGGTATCCGCAATGCAGTGAAAGCTGACATTGGATACACTGCGGCTCAACTCGTTTATGGAACGACACTTCGACTTCCAGGAGAATTCGTGGATCCTTCATCCTCTTCAATGAACATGGATCTAACCTCCTACACGAACAGGCTTACAAACGCGATGCGTTCAGTTAAACCTGCTTCCACTCGACCTCAATCAACTGATGTTTTCGTTCAACCTGACTTACGATTTAGTACACACGTTTTCGTTCGTCGAGACTCGCATCGACGACCCTTCAAATCAGCATACGAAGGACCCTTCAAAGTTCTTCAACGTGAATCTAAGTACTATATAGTCGATAAGAACGGAACCAACGATAGCATCAGTATCGATCGCTTAAAAGCAGCGTATTTAGAAGGAAATCCTATCTACGTGGATTTTCCTTCGGTACAATCGAACGACACGACTCCGACACTTATAATACCTCATCCGACAACCAACACACACGATGATACTTCGACAGTATCCGAAAATAAACTTAAAACGACGCGTTCTGGAAGAAGGGTGAGATTTCCAGAACATCTAAACGACTATTGCACGTAAGGCACTTCTCGACATTTTATATTATTTTTTAAAAAAAAAACAATTTTAATATGCTTATATAGTTTTATTTCTATTTAAAAAAAAACAAAAAAACAATTTTTTTAACGCTATTACGTGTTCATGAGTTTATTTTCCATTTTTTTTCCGCCGACATTGTGCTTTTACGCACATACGAGTGTATTTTCGACATGCACTTACATTTTCTTTTTTCTTTTCCAGGACGGCTGGAAAAGAACGATGACGTTTATGAGGATCCCAAATTTTCATTGTACATTTTCTTTTTCTACTATGTTGTACCTCCGTCCCATATAGTAAGGAAAGACGACCAGACGCTGCTACACTTAGTAAGCTATCAGAAGAGTGTTTACCAACGACGAACTCGTTGGGTTTAAACTTCTGACTGGCCACGTCTTAGGGTCGTCACTGCCCCACTAGGGGGGGAGTGATCTGTAGCGGTAAATAAATCCCCAAAATAAATAGCACTAAGTTTTCGACATTGGATGCTGACCATATGTTTTAGTGGACTCACCTAGCTGAAGGCGCTCGGTCAGGCATCCGTACCAGATCACGTGTGGTAACGCCGTGCTCAACATCAACCGCAATCGCTAGCCAGATTAGATCAGATAATTCCGATATATTGGTCATCGCCAAATATACTCTTCCGATCTCCTCGACTCTGTCTTTTGATTTCTCTGGGCGGGAACGAAATATATTAGAAGGTGTTACTGGTAGAAGCGTTGTCAAACACTGAATACCTGTGACATCATTATCATTAATGATGTGGGCATACATGTGACTCGTAAACGTGCTCCATTGTCCAGCTCGGGCCCATGTATAATTTGTGTTCTTCCTAAAGTATATGGAAAGCATGCAAAGAGTACACTCTTACATCAAACCAAGAAAGTCAAATATAGGAATTACTCAGAAGATAATATCCGAAATCTGAAAAACATGTTTCATACGACTAACTGGGAATTATTTACAGATAACTCACTGGAAAACACTACTGATGTTATCAATTGTTACCTTAAATTCTGTTCTGATATTTGTTGTCCCACTGAAACTATTTTTGTAAGTTTTGATGGACTTACGTCTTCACAACTAAGACGACTATGGAGGGTAAAATAAAGAATGTACAAGAAGAAAAACTCTAATGAAGTTCGTAAGCTAGATGGTCTAATAAACCTAGAGATTAGAAGTCTCAGCTCTATGTTTACTCAAAAACTCTTGTCATGCAAAAACTCTCCAACTATGTGGAAACTCGTTAAAGAACATACAAGTGACAGGCAGATTAGGAGCGATAACCGGCTAAGTGTTTGTGACTTAAATAAGTCTTCTGTACGTCAGTCATCTCATGTAATGTTCCCTTTATCCACAGGTTTAAAGAACAACTGTGTTCCTAGTTTCACTGAAACTGATGTCCGAAGATGTCTCCAGCTAATTAACTCATCCCGATGTTTAGGACCTGATGGTATCCAAAACCTCCTTTTTAAAAAATGTGCTGACGTCCTATGTTATCCATTCACGAGTATCTTTAACAGATCCTTCTCATCTAATCTCATACCGAAAATGTGGAGGACGATGAGGATAATTCCTGTACCCAAGAAAGCATCTAGTAATAAGAATGTGAAATTTAGACCTATTGCAATAACGTCACCCTTCCTCAAAACAATGGAAAAATTATTAATACTTCCACTTCAGCCTGCGATAAAAGAATATATTGATCCATATCAGTTTGCTTACAGATGCAAAAGAAGCACCTTAGATACTGTTGCTGTTCTGCATCATAATATATTGTTCAACTTAGAAAAGGGTAAGAAGTATGTTCGATGTGCTTTTCTGGTCTATACTTCAGCTTTTGATTCTATACCAAGACAACGTTTACTTAACAAGTTGATCAGCGTCAACGCTGACAGCTGGATAACCAACTGGCTATGTTCCTACCTCTATGGAAGGGAACAGTACACTGTATTTGGAAGAAAGTGTTCAGTCTCTACTGTCTCATGAAGGTGTACCACAAGGAGCTGTTGTTTCACCTCTTCTTTTCTCTTTTTTCTACATGATCTGACATCTACCACAGAAAACACTTTGTGAAATGTGCTGATTATCTCACTGTATGTATTCCTATCTCTTCCTCTTAACATCCCATAGAAATGAATGAGTTTTTGTCTCATATTAATTGCTGGTCTGTTGGTAATGGTCTTACACTTAATCCGTCTAAATGTCAAGCTGTTAACTTTAGAATGAGACATGAACGGCATTTAAACACCATTTTAAGATCCCATAGTGCTTGTGCCATTGGAGACTCTTTGATAAACACAGTGTTGAAGATCGATTATCTTGGTGTTACCTTTTCCTCTGATCTCTCTTGGTCTTCTCACGTTTTGTTGTTATCGAAGATGGTTTTGCGTCTGACTTACTACATAAAGAGATTGCATGCTCTTGGGATTACTCGTCATTTACTCTTACGATTTGTCAATTCTTGCATATTACCTATTATTCTTTACTGTTCTCCATTATTCTTTCCCGGGCTTTTGAGAAAAGAATTTGCTGTATTGAGGAGGGTGCTGAAGGCAGTTTGTTATGACCTTGATGTCTGGCTTTCTATCAGGCGACTTATCGACCAGTCAGAATACAACTTATACAATTTTCGCACTATGCCAAACCAATGACGTTCAACCGGTATGAGCGGTTTAGCGTCCTGATTGGTCCTATGTCCTCCTAGCCCTTCCACTTGGATCCAGAACACAATACCAGCTTCTGTAATATGAATCGAATCGAATCGAATAGTTTATTTCAGACATACTCGGTTTATATATCAATCAGACAGACCACAACGTACCATAAAATAGAAAATAACATGTGTACACAAATAAGCCAAAAAGTGGCTGTGAACGAGGGGGACAGTAATTAATAGACTGAGCATAGCTTAAGAATCGTAAATCGTACAATAATAAAATATAGGTCAAAATAAAGCTTATAATAAGAGGAATATAAATATACATAATCTAATTATTCAATAGTTTTACAATAAGAATATTTATAGAATATTAGTCCATTAATAGGCCTTGGGAGTTACCTGTAATTTAATCTTCATTGGGTTATAACACAGTTGACAAGGTTTGAGGTGAATCTTCCGAGGTCATAATTAATGTGGTTGTGGATAGACATCTAGAGTCATGCAAACTCCTGGTAGTTGTTATTTTATTAGGTACCATCCATCTATATTCATATATTTCTCCTTTTATATCTTCTGGTAGAACGAGAAGTAATTACATTAAAGTCCATGCACGCAAAAAAAAGTATAAAACTTCTATATCTTACCTAGCAAATATACTCTGTGACGAACAGGTTATTGGAGTTAATCTAGTAAATAACATGCATTCCTAACATGTCTCTAATCTGAAAAGTTGTACAGTTTTTTCAGATTTTTTTAAACCGATTTTCCCTTTTTCTGTCTTTGTTTCTGTTCTTTGTGTAGGAAACTTGTTGAAATACCCTGTGTTGAGAATTTCTATATTGTATCAAAATATATAATCTTGAACAAAGTCAATAATAGTAATAATAATAAATACTTAACTCACTTCCCCTCACAACATAATTCTTACCTTAACAAATTCAATGAGTAATCACGGAACTACTGTTATGATCTATTATCTAAACTCCTAATCATTTATTGTTTAGTATATGTTTTTACATTGTTTTAGATGATGAAACTACGAAGTTGAGGTACAAATACACCAATGATAAAAAAGCGAGATGTAGTTTCTGTAATTCCTCGAACGTCTTCATTACCAATCAGGCTCAGATATTACGAACATTAATTACACGACTGTGGTATTTGCAAGAACTAATGATTTAAATGTATTTATTTGTGCACTGATTACGAATTACAAATATAATATGTTCATTTGTGCTCATCTAGTTCCACCTGCCTTAAAATGCAGTATTTCTGGAATTCTCAGTAAATACATAAATTCGAATAATTCTGATTATAAAATTACCCACATCTCTGCATGTGACATTCTGTTTCAAAACTTATTTTGTGCGATTATTCCATCAATACGAATGTCAAAAGCCAAAGTAACCCTAATTAGTCGTAAACAATCACCTCATTAATTCAAAAATGAATGTTTGTATATCCATGAATCATTTAATGAATTCTTATCTAATCTAAACTGATAAATATTACAAATAACAAATATGCTTACATGAAACACATGAAATTAATAATTTGAACAAAATACCACAAAATATGCACTAATGTATGAAAGTGTACAAAATAACACTGAGAAATAGTAAATAATAAAAGTTATTCAGATGAAGTCCTCTGAGTTGAGATCCATTGTTTCCTTTGTTACAATGTGACTGATTCGTGTATGGTCCGATACAAAGCGAGTACATGGTTGCATGTGCAATAAATGTGTTATCCAATGAAGAATGAAATAGTTCACTGTAAGGTCCATTAGCATAAATCGGTACATCCTCAGCACTGTGTGTAGAAAAACTGAGTCTCACTAATGATTCTGCAGTATAGTTGCTTGCAAATCTATCTTCTGTTGCCGGATCCGATCGAGGTGCATTCAATATACCTCTTGGTCCATTGAAATAGGAAGATATGAGATATGATTTATTATCATCTCCCTGTAACACAAAACAAAGCAATATTAGATAATTTCATTCCACTGAGTGTATCAATGTTTCTTATATGGTCTACTTTAATTGTATATTACACACTATTCGAATCCGTTATAATATTATCGATGACAGAGACGTGTAAGTTGGGATATTTTGAAAAATAACTAGGTTGTTCTAAATGACTATAATTTTCCTCAAAATCTTTCAACATTTTGATTTCCCAATGTAAAGAAGAGTAGATATTCAGTGACTATATTAACTGTTTCGAAGAAACGTTACTGTGTGATACAGTGAAAATACCATTAATTTCTGTGATACATCAGAAAATCTACTTTATACTTTTCGAATATAAACCCATTTACAAAGACAAGTGAACGTCAAGGTGATTGTGACTTCTCATCACCAGCTGACCACAACTTAGATTTCGCACGTAAACATACAGTATAAATTATAGTCAACACCATAATTGGTGAATTATCATCATATTAATGACATTTAGTTGTTAAACAGTTATTTGTGAAAACACGTATTTACGTCAATTTTCCGTTGGGTACATTCAATGAGGTCATTTCAGTTACAAATTAATGATTTCGAAATCGAGCACTCCGAGACAAATCGATCATGCCATTATGCATATCATATCCATTTACTGTCTCCAACATTAACTCCCATCAAAATTTAATTAAATTTCATCAAGCACACGATGCCGATACGAACAAGGGTGAATTCGAACAACATTATTATTATTAATAATTACAATAATAATAATAATAATAATCGTGTAAAGAAGAAGAATTCCAAATACACATGAGTGATTAGAAATTATGATACTCAGATATATAAGTATGCAAGTACGTCATCGCGCTCTTTAAGTAAATAACATTTAACCTACTAAGATGTGTATATATGTTGGTTGTAACTGGTGATTAGTCACACATACTCACACAAGCATGTTAATGATAAAGTAAAGATATAGGCAAATAGTTTCTGACACAAGTGAGACTACCTATGAAGTAAGTTGTTCAGAGGGTATAATGAACATAAACGCATACAAGCTCAAGTGAAGGTGAGATCGCTAGAATATAACGAACTCATGTTATTATGCTTGAGTCGTTGTTCTTATTTTACGCGAATTCATTGATTTCACCATTTACATGTATGTACTGATACCATTAAATCAACAAACTCTCAATTATCACAACTGGTGAGCTGTGCAAATTTTGAATCGGTGTGCCTAAAACTGCACTCAAAGTCAAATGAATGAAGTAGTTTGAGAATTGACCTGTTTTACAAACAATTGAGTTTGTTTTACTGTGCTCTCAGCTTACATGGACTCCATTTTCAACCCATTTCAACTACTTTAAAGAGGCAATCAGTGATAATCTGACCAACTCATTCATCTGCAATCGCATTACTCAATAACCATTCAATCATGTTACATGACGAGAATGTTTTGTCGAATTCGTTGATAAAATATGTCAGCGATAAGGAAGTAGTCAATATTTTGTTTCCCTCCTGAATATCTGACTGATTCATATTCAGTTAACAACATTTCGATACTCATTAAATCCGTTTTGAGACTGGATTTCATGAGGAATATATGTCAACTGAACGACCTCCACAAACATCTCAAGCGAACAGAAACTATGTTTAGACTCAATCATTGTAAGCATTCTTCGCCCTGAAAATTGTTCCGGTGTTATACGCGGGCTTTTAACTTCGATTTTACTATTGACAAATCTTTCAAACGGATCATGCGATGGGAACTTTGTAACTATGGATCCAGTTGCCAATCGTTTTGAGACTTGAAGTATTTTGCCAATCATAACTTGAAGTTGCTACATGTTACCTATTGTCATTTCATTGACATCAGTAGGTTCATTTGTTGTCTACTACATACCTCAGATATTGGTAAATTGATGTGTTTCGGTAAGAAACCGTTTCTCGTTTACTCAAATGCTTAAAAATGGAAAAGGATTAACACTTACTTTTGCAGTATTATCTACATCTAGCACACTTGTGTTCCTTGTCGGATAGCCGACCACTCCATATGCATGTGAATGGTCAGCTGTTACTAGCAGTAGTGTTTCCTGTTGATCAACAAGTGACAATGCTTTCTCGACAGCTTTTTCGAGCTCCAAAGTTTCAGTTAATGCATATCTGTAATCGGTAAGAATTTGGAAAAGTAATCATATTATCAATCCACTTAAAAAGATAACTACATGTGTTGGAAACTTTTATAAACAACACTCCACATCGAACTTTAGATTAAACGACAAGGAATAGTCGACATCAGTTTAGTTTCATACCAAAGACCAAAAATATCATGACTGTCATTAGTTTTAATTGTGGAAATAGTTGCATTTATAATAATAGTTTCTTACTGGGCTCGATTGTCGTGATTCCCATGATCAATTTTACCTCCTTCCACTAACAAAAGAAATCCTTTAGGATTACGAGAAAGTACTTTGATAGCAGCTTCTGCCATTTCTGCTAAACTTGGTTGGTCTTGGTTTTCCAGTTGATAAGCCAAATGATTCGAAGCAAACAAACCTGAAAATCAATGTTTAGTATTATATCTGATTGAAATGCCATAAAATGAATGATAGTGTCAGTAACTCAACATACATTGGATCAATCAACATACTACGTTAAAGGTTTGGAAATTTTGCAAATATGAAAGGAATCAACGAACCAAATAGTATGAAAATGGCTGAATCGAATGTGTGATGAACATTGGTTAAGTATACGGAAAATGGTCACGATATTCGGTACCGCAAAACTATTTAATTCCAGTCAAATTCACATATCTACAGTCTTAGCATCCAGTGGTCATTAACTGCCTGTCCACATAATCAAGCCATCACAAAACATATTTATGAAAACTACTAAACATAGAGCATTAAATAAACGTTAATAAATTATTCATTGGAAACGACAAATTTGTGCTGGTGGCCAGTAGTCGAATTATCACGGGATGCACAAAATGATTTCCATTTTAACGTTGATCTATGCCTAAGGCCACTGTACAATAACGCTTCAGGCAGCTTCATTTTGAAACATAAAAATAAACAGTGAGTTGCTTACTAGTTACTGATTCACAATAACACTATGTAGCCAAACTCACGAATCATAGAACCTACCCAAAACATAGTCAACCGAAGACCAGTCGATTTGTTTAAACTCATCGTTTGTATGTAAGAGAACATGCTTGCGATTCATTTCGGTCTGCATATCCTTCCATTCTTGTAGGAGGTTGCGTGAATCAGAGCGTTTACCTTTCATGTTGAAAGTGGTATTGTCTGACGGACCATAGAATTCGGCTGCCCCTCCTCCCATTATGACGTTGACGTGAGAAGCGTTTGTTATTAGTTGTGCAGCAGCGTCTACGCAGTGGAATCCATGCTTGTTTGACGGTCTGAATGAGAGGAGAAATAAGCGACAGTGATAATAATAATAATAATAACAATAATAATAATAATGAGGTCAAAGGCTCGGGGTGTGGCGCTCTAAGAAAACCACCTGCTTCGGTCTGGGCGTCCGGGCGGCATAACAGCTCACACACAAACAGAATGAAATGACGATATTTATGGAAAATACTATTCTTGATTCGATTAACAGTCAAACGATTCACATTATTATTATTATTATTATTATTATTATTATTATTATTTACTACGTCACTATCCACACACTTTTATTCCCACTTTGTGTGTGTGGCGCATATATATCTGACGCCCTCTTGTACCAAGATTTATGTGTTCAAATAAATAAATGAAATAAATAAATCTATTCAAACAGTTAGCCGAATAGATAAATTAATGTGGGTAGGCTCTTATATGTATTCGTGAATAAGTTGGCAATTTATTCATCACACCTTGTCTTATGCCCATATTGCACTGTGTTCGTACACTAATGCAATTTGTGGATATTGAATATTTTATTGTGATTATCACTGGTTGATTTATTTATCCCGAACATTCTAGGATCAATTGTAGCACATTTATACCGTAATCCATCTTGAAATTCTGTATGTAGTTAGATAAACAAGTCGATTTTTAAAGATGAATAATGAATTAATGGTGTTTTATTTCACCAGATGTCATGTGGGTAAAGGCAGCCGATCACATAGATGATAAAGCAATCAACATAGATTCCCTTGACAATTTTGAAGAGGATATATTATAAACTCATTCATAAAACCCAAGTTCTTACTCTCTATTTTGAACCAAACATTTTTGTGTAGAGATGATAATGGCACTATCATTTTATTGACCATAGCAGGTGAACGGTGGTTTCGAACCTGTCTATTCATGACTGTGTGGAGCCCGAATAAGAAAGTCATCATTGGGAAGAATATTCTATTTAGGATCATGGCAATCTGACATAAAGTAACAATAAAGCAATTGCATTGATAAATGTTTAATAGCTTCCGGATGAATATGAAATTTCACTTCAAATTTATAATTCCTTTTAAGTGATATGAAACAGATCATTTATGGACACAAACTTAAGTGAACTTTATGATATATAGATACCACTATAGATACTACACTATCATTTTTCTAAAGAAATCTTAATCTCACCAATTTTACATATTTCATTCACAGTGTATTGGGAAAAACCGTTTTCTAACATTATGGCTTCTTAGTTTGTCGTACTCAGACAAAATACGCAAAACACTAACTGTAAACGGAGTTAATTACGATAAAACCTGCACACGTCATTTATGTACTTTATCACATTAAAACTATACATCAATGTAAAATCATTGTCGAATACAATTTGCACTCACCCTACCGACTCCCAATCTCGATGCAACATATTGGCATATGCTGCTGCGGGTGTTGCATGAGTAACCCTCGTAGTTGTTACTATTCCAGTGGAAAATCCTGCTTTAGAGGCATACATGAGAGAAGATTTCGCTATTTCCACTTCTGTTAACTCAATACATTCACAGCACTTCACTGTTCCCGTGATACCGACAGTTTTATGAGGCCCTTTCA